TTGTAGCTCCCGCTGGTAAGTAACCTTTTTCTATTTTTACCCTATTAATGAAAAAGTGATAGGTGCTTTTTAGACAAAACAGCTTAGGATCACACTTATCTGACTGCCACATACTTGGCTTCAGCATATGAAAAGCAAGCTTGCAGCTACTGGTCACTCTATATGAAAATAAACCACATTCATTAATTCTTTTTTCACTTCCCTGATTGTAAGCAGATTGAAATTCTACTTTTAGAATACACACACACACAAGGTTAGACTCAGGCTAGAAATTAAGATATTTTGAGGATCATATCTGTAAACCATTGACATAAGTTATTAGTTCAAGATAGTTTTCTTGTAGACCTTCTTTTAAGTGAGAGACACCTTTATTAATTACCTATTCTCTATATTTTGAGATAAAACATACTGCTCCTTTCTCAAACTAACCTGCAAAATCTACATTATTGGTTTTCATCTCATCTGTAACAACAGTGCAAAAAACTAATTCTTAAAGTAAATGGCTGTAGAACATCAATACATCTCACTTCTTATTACTCTAGCATCTTAGAGGTAGGCTGAGATCAGTCAAAATTTATGCTGTCAAAACTCTTTTTGTATTGCCTAGAGATGGGCCACTTTAAGGGAATTTGTAAGCTCAATAAGCCATTTCAGCTCCAATGTCCACGAAAATTGTCCTCACGTTTTTACATCTTCATTTGCTCATTCATTCTGTCAGCAAACATTCATTGAAGACGGTTTCTGTTCTGGATGATAGAGATTAAATGGTGGACAAGACACAGATAAAGCAATTTCCAGCATTCCCACAGCTTCTAGTCTAGTGGATGAGTGTTCTAACTCCATCCCGGTCCTTGGAGGCAGTTCTCTGCCTGACCTAGCAAGGAGGACATTAACACGGAGTCAACTAACCAAAACAATTCTGAGTCTCTGAAGGGTGGAGACATTAGGTCCATTTGGTATTTCTATATTGAAAGATTTGTAATGAATTTTAGATATTTTATTTATTTGATTCCAAAAATAACCAATGGGAAAAAACGAACGAAAATTGCTAAACCTGTCATTTGGTGAGAGGATGATAAACATCAAGTATTAAAATATTTAACTGGGCAAACATATTCAAGAATGTCATTAGCTGGGTTTGTTTTTTGCTGAATGCAATCCAGTAAATTTGTTCTATCCTCATGAGCCTTAAAGATGAAATCTTGCCTAAATGAGGGAAAATATCTCGCAAGGATGTTCCTAGCCTACTAGATCCATTGAAATGAAAGTTTTTAGAGAATTTTCACAAAGTTGATAAAGCATTGAAAAAATGAAAGAAATTATATATTTTGGTTTCCATAGTGGTTGTGATCACATAAACATAACATTCATAAATTGAAAAGCAACTTTCTGGTGCTTTTTTCCCCCAACTGATTATATATATTCAGTGTAAACTGTAGCAATCAAATTAAATAACAGTGACACAAATATAATTCATGTGGGTCCTGAAAATTGTTTTTTGGAAAGTGCGGTGCAGGGAAAAATATGGCCTTTGATTCTGGGTCTATCACCTTCTGTGTGATTATTCTTAGGCCAATAAATTGTGATTCACTCACTATTGCTCTACTGAAACTATAAAAACACTACTTGCCCAATATGAAAAAATTGGAGAATAAAAAAGTAAAGAAAAAATTAAAACTTTATATTGACACGTCACTGTTAACATTTTGATATATTTCCATCCATTCATTCTATCCATGCAACAACCATTACAAGTGGATATTGTGAAGATTAAGTGAAATTAAGTATGGAAATTACCAACATAGTCAGTGATAAAAAAGTCAATTCCCCAGACTTCAAATTACCACCATTGGAATTCTTTATGAAATCAGGAGTACAGATAAGTGTGTTAATTACCAATCTATAGGTCACATTAGAACAAATGGTCAGTATTTGGAAAAAGCTTTCAATTTCTAAGACTAATTGTTACCTGCTTCTAAAAATGATTAGACTATAATAAGCATTATGTCAAATATCACTAGCCTAAATATAAGGTGATCTCTCATTTTCAAGTAGAAATATCCACAAGGAAAAAAAAGAGAGAATTTTGCAACTCGAACATGTAAATTTATAGTGATATAGATAAAAGTATAATATACACTTATCACATTTAATCTCTTAATTAGATTATAGCTACAGAGTTAAAAAATATATCAATACAAATATCAGTTGAGAAATATTTCTCTTTTTACCCTCACATTTCATTAAAAATTTTATTCAGAGTCTTCACATGCATCTACATTAGAGCAAGTCTCTAAGTCATCCCAGGGGCTGAGGGTCTGTTTTGTGATCACAGTAGGATGATGTCACTGGATATTTTATCTAAAGAGACAATTATTCATTTATAAAATAAAAGGAACATATTTTTTTCACTTATTCTATTATTCTATGAATGTGCAACATAAGCATAAACTATAGAGACTTTAGTCTCAAATAATATCTACCAAATCCATGTATAATGTCTTTATTTTCTTTCTACAGTGCTAGCTCAGAAACTAACATTAATTGAGTTCATTTCAGGTGGAGATCTTGTCTAAGTAGTGTTTTTTGATCACAGCAGAGTGTTAGAAGAGGGTCTTTTAATATGAGAGGGTGCACAGGGACTAAAACAACGTGACCGTTGTTTACTGAAGGATAGCTTTGGGAAAGAATGACTCACTTTATCTTCCGTCACTTTAAGCCTGTCTGAATTCTGCATGTTTGGGGTCTATATCACAGAGCTATATTTGCAAACATAGTCCCCCACCTCTCATGTCATATTCAAGTTAGACCTTACTAAACCATCAACCACAGGGGCAGAAAAAGAAACAAGCTATAATGCACAAACTCTTCGTCATTTATTGTGACTGCCTATTTCCAAAACCTATTTCAGATGACCTAAAATCAAATTCCCAAGTACAGACATACCTTGTTTTATTACGCTCTGCTTTATTGCACTTCGCAGATATTGCATTTTTTAAAAGTTGAAAGTTTGTGGTAACCCTGTGTTGAGCAAATCTACCAGTGCAATTTTTCCAATAGCATTCGCTCGCTTTGTGTCTCTGTTTCACATTTTGGCAATGCTCACAATATTTCAAACTTTTTCATTATTATTATATTTGTTATGGTGATCTGCGATCAGTGATCTTTGATGTTACTGTTGTAATTGTTTTGGGTCACCATGAACGGTGCCCACGTAAGACGGCAAAATTAATTGATAAATCTTGTTTGTGTTCTGACTGCTCCATCTACTGTTCTCCTATCTCTCTCCCTCTCCCTGGTCCTCCCTATTCTCTGAAACACAATAATATTGAACTTAGGCCTATTAAAACCCTACAATGGCCTCTAAGTGTTCAAGTGAAAGGAAGAGTTGCATGTCTCTCATTTTAAATTAAAAGCTTGAAATGAGTAAGCTTAGTAAGGAAGGCATGTCAAAAGCCGAGATAGGCCAATAGTTAGGCCTCTTGTGCCACTTAGCTAAGGTGTGAATACAAAGGAAAAGTTCTTGAAGGAAGTTTAAAGTGCCACTCCAGTGAACACAGAAATGATAAGGAAGCAAAATGGCCCTATTGTTGATATTGAGAAAGTTTCAGTGGTCTGGATAGAAGATCAATAGAGCCACAACATTCCCTTAAGCCAAAGCATAATCCAGAGCAAAGGCGGAACTTTCTTCAATGCCATGAAGGGTTGAGAGAGCTGAGAAAGCTGCAGAAGAAAAGTGGGAAGCTAGCAGAGGGTGGTTCATGAGGTTTAAGGAGAGTGGCCATCTCCATAACATAGAAGTGCAAGGGGAATCAGCAAGTGCGAATGTAGAAGCTGCAGCAAGTTATCCAGAAGATTTAGCTAAGATAATGCATGAAGGTGGCTACACCAAACAACAGATTTTCAATGTAGATGAAACAGCCTTATGTTGGAAGATGTCATCTAGGACTTTCATAGCTAGAGAGAAGAATTCAATGCCTGGCTTCAAAACTTCAAAGCACAGGCTGGCTCCGTTTTTAGGGGCTAATGCAGCTGGCGACTTTGTGTTGAAGCCAATGCACACTTATCATTCTGAAAATCCTAGACCCTGTAAGAATTATGCGAAATCTACTCTGCCTGTGCTTTATAAATGAAAGAAAAAAACCTAGGTGAGAGCACATCGATTTACAACATGGTTTACTGAATATTTTAAGCCCACTGTTGAGATCTACTGCTCATAAAAGAAGATTCCTTTCAAAGTATTATTGCTCATTGACAATGCACCTGCTTACCCAAGAGCTCTGCTGGAGATGTACAATGAGATTCATGTTGTTTTCATGCCACCTAACACAACATCCATTCTGCAGACCATGGATCAAGGAGTAATTTTGACTTTAAAGACTTATTATTAAAGAAATACACTTCATAAGGCCATAGTTGGCATAGATAGATAGTGATTCCTCTGATGGATCTGGGCAAAGTAAATTGAAAACCTTCCAGAAACGATTCACTATTCTAGATGCCATTAAGAACATTTGTGAAGGGGCCAGCCCAGTGGCACAAACGGTTAAGTGTGTGCACTCCGCAGAGGCGACCCGGGGATCGCTGGTTCAGATCCCGGGCGCACACCGATGCACTGCTTGGCAAGCCATGCTGCGGCTGCGTCCCATATAAAGTGGAGGGAGATGGGCACGGATGTTAGCCCAGGGCCAGTCTTCCTCAGCAAAAAAGGAGGAGGATTGGCAGATGTTAGCACAGGGCTGATCTCCTCACAAAAAAAAAAAGAACTTTCGTGATTCATTGAAAGAGGTTAAAATGTCAACATTAACAGTCATTTAGAAGAGGTTGATTTAACCCTCATGGATGTCTTTGAGAGGTTCAAGACTTCAGTGGAGGAAGTAACTGCCGATGTAGTACAAATAGCAAGAGAACTAGAATTCGAAGTGGAGCCTGAAGATATGACTGAATTGCTTCAATCTCATGATAAAACTTAAATGAATAAGGATTTACTTCTTATGGAGATGGAATCTCTTCCTGATGAAGATGCTGTGAAGAGTGGTGACATGACAACACAGGATTTAGAGTATTACAAGAACTTAGTTGACAAAGCAGCGGCAGCGTTTGAGAGGATTGACTCTAACTTGGAAAGAAGTCCTACTATGGGTAAAATGGTATCAAAGAGCATCACATGCTACAGAGAAATTGTTCACGAAAGGAAGGTTCCGTTGATGTGGTAAACTTCAGCATTGTCCTATTTTAAGAAATTGCCACAGTCACATCAACCTCAGTCATCACCACCCTTTTCAGTCGGCAGCCATAAGCATTGAGGAAAGACTCTCCACCAAAAAAAGATGACAATTTATAGAAAGCTCAGATGGTTATCATTCTTAAACAATAAAGTATTTTTTTACTAAGGTCTGTACATTGTTTTTTTAGACATAATGCTATTGCACACTTAATAGACTACAGTATTGTGTAAACCTAACTTTTATATGCACTGGGAAACCAAGAAAATTGTGTAACTTGCTTTATTGCAATATTTGCTCTGTTCGGGAACTGAACTGGCAATATCTCCAAAATATGCTTGTGCAGTCAGACCATAAAATAAAAAAGAAGATGAAAACCACTAAGGAAAGCAGAAGAAAAAATGTCTATGATTTTCTAGCAAGAAGCACAGGCTCATATTTTCTGCTCAAAGGTAGGAGAAATAAGGTAGTGGAATTCATCCTTTTTGTTAACTGATGAAATGAAGCATATCAAGTTTTCAAACAGAATATGTTTATCCCACTATAAAAATAGGAAAGGACTATAATGCCTGAGTCCTTTAGGAGTTAAGTGAAGTAAAAGAGTGGACATTGCCTTAACAAACATTTTGTACAATGGAAGAAATGGTCTTTCAGCAAACCCATTTTATCCCCCCACTGCATCAAGGCTATGGGCATCATAACATTGAGTGTCATCCACAGATGGCGACCCTTAGCAGATATGGTCAGGCAGGTGACATTTAGTGTGTAACATGACAATAGGAGGATTTGAGGACAGGCATCCTGCCATCTCTCTAGTCGTTCTGCCTTGAAGGCCCGCTGCCAGGAGTTTCAAGCTGAACTTTCCACATGAGCTGGAAAGATGTCAGTTTGAGTCTGAAATTTGGGTGAAAACTTTGAATGCAAATAGATTGTGCTGTTGATTAGGGAAAAGAGCCGTTGTTTTGGACAACACAGGTGAAGCAGTTCCATATACTGACTGCATGTTATTAGGCTTTAGCCAATGTTGCCTTTGATTTCCTTAACACTGGGAATGCAGTGGATAAGACAAGACAATGATTGCCTATTAACTGGGTGAGAGAAAGACACATTTCTTCCAATGATGGCTTTGAGAATTCCAGACATATTAGAGCAAAGTGAAATGCAAACGAAGGAATAAGTCTACATGCTTAATTGCCATGATCTAATTGTCATCCTAAAATACTGAATTACTACCAGTAATGGCAAAGTTTGGTCCCATGAGATTAAAATATCATGTTGGAGCATGCAATCATCACAAACAAATTGTTAATAATAGTGATAATGATAATATTCACCATAATAATAATTATAATCTCTATTTCCACAGCATTTTAAATCTAATCACTTTTCAGATCTTATTTCATTCTAGCCTCAATTCAGCTCTGGTAGGGATGTTGAATTGATTTACACCAACATCATTGTTTTCAAGCAAATAAAGCATGAAAGGGTTTCATTTACTTTCTCAGCCGCAGATTTGTGAGCAAAATGTACCGGGACCAGAACCCTAGTCTGTTGAGTCGCAGGCCACCGCAGTTCCCTAGACTTTGAAGAACTCAGAGAAGCTAAATTAGTGTAAAGTTTTTGATATTGGTTGATCACTGTGGAATTATTATACAAATCTCCTCAGTGATGGAACAAAACTTGTCATCACAGGTAGGTATCAGAAGAATGGAATTTTTCAACGTAATAGAGGGAAGGCAAGAAGCTATTGTTGGAGAAGAGGGAGAATCCCCCTCCGCCCTTTCCCTTAAGGTTCTTCTGGCTGGCCAAATAATTAAAAAGACAGATTAGCAGGAGAAAATAATACCAAGTTTAATAACACGTATACACGGGAGAAACCAGGGAAACTGAGTTTCTCAACAAAATGGCAGAAATTTTCATCTTAAATACTATCTTTAGCTAAAGACAAAGGAGGATGTTGGGGGTGGGAGGAGTCAGCTATGGGGGATTACCAGAAAGCACAGCAATCGAATGTACGTAGATTGAAGTCCTTTCCTTCTGTTCTGATAAGAGTTTCCAGAGATAAGGTCATCCCCCCTTTTCCCAGTACAGAGAGGGAGATACGTTTACACATGTAAATATTTGGTAAACAGAACTTTGAAAAGAATGGGCTTAGCAAGGGCCCTGCCAGTCTGTCCCTACCCAGAGTTAAATTCCTTTAGGCAATTAGTGGGGGAGGTCAAATGTCCATCAGTGAAAATAATCAAGGTAAAAAGATATATTTCAGGGTGGTTAATTTTGATCTCCCACACTATTAAATTGGAATAATAGTTAATAATGTTTAGGAAACATAGGAGTGTGATGGGGATTGGATGTAGAAATATTAGGAGAGGTTTTAAAGCAAATCCTTACGGCAAAGAACGGCATAGGCAACATGGTGCACATTTTGTAATAGGATTTGGCTTTCTGTCCATGTGGACTTACATAAAGGACTCAAATATGACATATGTAATTATCCTGAAAGTGTTTGGCCCATGGACAAAGTTTATGATTACAGGTGAGTTTTGTGAGTCGACACATTTCCTTTCTAACGGTGAGAGGGTGTCGTCAAAGAGCCTGGACTTTGGAGTCAGGCTGACCTGGCTCCACCACTTCCTTCCCGGTGATGTGAACTTGGATGATTATTCTCTGGCCTCAGTTTCCTAGTCCTTTTATGGTAGATACAAATTATGGGGGAGACACTGAGTCAAAATACGATGCATTCTTCATCATGCTAAACTTCAAATGAAATTCCAAAATAAAATGAACTTTTGGTGAACATTTTGTAAAGTGAAACAAAATTCTTATAAATGTCTTTACTTAATAAAATTAGCATAACAGCATTTCTGAAAATAATGAATTTTTTAATAGAAGTTTTGGAAATATTGTTATTTTGCTTCTATATTCAAGGCATTGTAAATAATTTGGAGATCCAGCGTTAGTACTGCCCAACTCAAAAACCTGCAGTGGTTCAGTGTGAAATTGAGATGATATATAAAATGAGATATCAAGTAGGAGAACTCCGTAGCATGGGATCCACATTTGAGCTAAATGTCAACTTGATTGTCAAGCACATGTGGAAATGGATTCCCATTAACAAGTGACTGCACATTGTTTTAGAAAAATGAAAAACTTCCTCCTGATATTTATTTATATGGCAAATAAGAGAAAGAAGGTGCATTCCAGAAACAGTTAAATGAAGAGTGAGGTTTCACAGAGTTGTAGAACATGAGAATGTGTTATTTGGCCAAAGAAACCATGAGTTACACAATTCATAGGATGAGAAAAGGAAGTCCTTTAGAAAGGACCAAATGTTCTCATGTGTAGAGAGGTCATCAAAGATATCTGTTCTCCTTCCCCATCCTCTCCATCTACCCACCCACCTTGAAAACATGCTCCCCTATGATAGAACAAAAGAGATGTTAAAAAATACTTGTGTTCATGAATGTTAGTTGTCTTCAAATGGGGCAGTTTAAAGTCATACCCCATCTTAGCATTTGGAGAAAGAACAAAGGCCAAGTTTTGATCCAGCCTCTGTCGCTTAACAGCTGTGACTCTGGGAAAGTTACATAACCTCTGGAACCTCTTTTCCCATTGAAATTAAGAACAATAAATGCCTCACAACCTGTTGTGGATGAAAGGCCATGGTAAGCACTAATTCAATGGCAGCTTTTCTTCCTTTTACTATATGTGCTAGGTTGTTCAAGAACAAACAATGTTTGTGCTTCTCTAATGATTCTTTTTAACTGCTGTTCCATTTTCCCCCACAGATAGACTTCCTGCAGACATTTCCCCCAAGCCCACCATCTTTCTTCCTTCAATTGCTGAAATAAACCTCCATAAGACTGGAACATATCTTTGTCTTCTTGAGAATTTTTTCCCAGATGTTATAAAGGTATATTGGAAAGAAAAGAATGGCGATAGAATTCTGCAATCCCAGGAGGGAAAAACCACGAAGACTGATGACACGTACATGAAATTCAGCTGGCTGACCGTGACTGAAAAGTCAACGGATAAAGAACACAGATGTATTGTCCAACACGAGAAGAACAGAGGAGGCACTGATCAAGAGATTCTTTTTCCTTCAGTGATTGAAGGTATGTATATGTAAATACAATCTCCCAGAACACTTTTTTTCAAAGAGAATATCTCACATTTTCTGTCAAGTATTAATGAAAAACAAACAAATACAAATCTTTCTTAAATGTTGTTCCATTTATTGGTAACATAAATGTCCCTCTCTTTCCCAATAGAATTAAAATAGCATATGCTTTGGAAGATAGAAAAAAAAAGAAATAGAAAATTTACTTAACCTTTCTCAGCTTCAGTTTCATCCTCTAAAATATTAAAGTCACAATGATGTTTTTTAGAGTGGTTGAATAGATTAATTGAAGCAAAATACCTGAAAGCACTCAGAAGCTTAGCATGCAAGAAATGCTCAAACAGGGATTCCACATTTTATGATCTTGCCTGATCAGGAAATAAGAGAAATAATACGTCTTCCAGGAATGTTATACTCAGCAAGCAGAGCCACTCTCACTCTAATCTTGCTGTACTCAGAGGGTAAACCAAAAACAATGTTATTAGGTGACAAATGGTGTTCATTAGAGGAGGATAGATCACAGTTGTTAAACAGAAATTAGAATAATTTGGCTGCTGCAGTTTTATTATGGTCTTAGGTTTTGCAGATTTGTATTTTATATACCATCGTGAGGTAAAATTTCAGAAGTAGAGACTGGTTGAGGCTAATGTGTACACACATACTTCACTTCTACATATTGTATGTATTTCTTGCCATTCGTAAATGCAGCTCAACAAACCTTTACTGCAGTACCGGCCTGTGCCTGGGCTGGAAGGGTCATGTGAATGAGCACACTGGGATGAATTACTGTCCCAAGGAGGATGCACTGTTGTAAGAGAATACATTATTTTACTAGTCACTCACGGTCACTGGTGATTCAGACGTGATGTCCCAAAGGAGTCCCTTTGATGCAGATGCTGAGTGTATTTTGACAGTGTGGGCAGAGGGCTGAATGGGTCTTGGTCCCTGCTGTGGTCCAGTAACTCCCTAGACCCAGGACTTAAAGTCCTGAGTATGAACACAACAGACCAAAGGCCCGAGAGCACCCAGAAATAAGATGGAGTCGGTTTGTACTTTTTCCAGTGGTTAACAACTCCTTTTGAAGCAGTGGGGAACAAGCACAGAACAAAATGTGCAAAGACCTTTCCTGTGCACCAGTCAGAACTTCTGATGTCAGTCTTGATCCCCTCAGATCCTTAGTTTCTCCAATTATCAAATCAAGTTCCAACACTTGCCTTAGCTTTCTCCCGGGGCCACGATGAAGAGCAAATGAAATAATGTCAATGAAATCACTTGCTTGTGAAAACATAACATGGATGTATTTATTTATGTATTTATTGTATTTTTTAATATCCTTCCCTAAAATGAACTAACAAGATTGTAAGATTGTACAATTGTAATTGTAAGATTGTAAGATTGAAAAAGCAGACCTAATTTACTATTTCTACAACTAAGAAACAGAGGGGAAGCAAATATGCAAATCACAAGTTAAGATAACAACTGGACTGATGTGTCCTATTAGGTTTTGATTTTTCTACTGATCAGGGAAAAATAAGAAGTATAGTAAGTTCTATGGTGATGATTATGTAGAGAATTTCCAGTTCATAATGTGTTTTACTTGGCACCTAATTTCTGAAACAAATGTCTCCCATGAGATTCTCAGGGAAACAAAGCTAATGAAGATATTTCTGTTAGTGTCATTCTCCAGCAAATTTCTAATGCTGTTTCTTGGATGTTTTTGTTTTTGATAAAAGCTAAGAATATAACTTGGAAGCACAAATCAAAGAAGTGATTTTGAAGAAGATGAAACTAGTCTGGTCCAAGTTTTTCATCAACCTTGATTGAGAAAGAGAACTCAGATATATACTGATATTTTTTATGAAAAACGGTCACTTTATTGTTATTACCTCAATCATTGCCTGGTAATCAGAGATTTTTATTTTCTTTCAGTGAATAAGTCGCGGTTATGGAAAGAAAGAGACTTTTAAGGCACATTAAAGTCAGTTCTTGAAGATATTTTAACATCTAAACATGATTACGCTAACATTTTCATTCTTAGAATTTATTCCAAATTCTATAACTCAAACTCAGTTTTAGAACTATCAAAAAATATCTCATTGAGTAAGTAAATTTGCATACCAGAACCGTGTCTATATGGACATGAACACATCTAGGAGAACAAGGAGAAACTAAAACGATGAGTTCAACTGTTTTCCTCCATCCAACAGTCAATTATCTTTAAAAAAATTTTTATCTTTGTGTGTTTACCTTTTTTTAAATTTAACATTGTAGATAAGTCTCACCTCAGGTTGTATATATTCAGAGAAGTATAAATGTGCCTTCGTCTATCTATCTTTGGAAAGAATTGCACTGAAATGCTGAGCTCCTGTAACAAAAAGGTCATTTGCTGTGAATATTTAACATATCTGGAAGAAAAGGTGTTTTTAGTGTCCACAATGGTGGAATTATGTTGTTTCTCTCTAGATTGTATTCTATTTCTATGGATTATTTTTACAAAGTAGTTTCCACATGCACTATCTCACTGAATCTGCCACAATGATCCTTTGAATGCTGGCTCTGCCATAACTGGTATGACTCTCGGCAAGTTACTTATACTCCCAACATTATTTCCTCATTTGTAACAAGGAGACTGTCAATGCAAATAATCCATAACCAATCTATAAATCAAAATTGGGGTGAGTTTATTATGAGCCCGATCTGAGGACCAGCCTGGAGCCTTACTTCCTCAAGGAAGGAAGGGCACCAAAGAGGGGTGTACAGAGTGGTTATATACCATCTTGGAACAAAGAGCGTACATCATATATGACAGGAATGTCCCTTTTACAATTGTCACAAGATGCTTAGTTGACACAGCAGATGGGTGCTCCGCATGTCAGTGGTCACAAAGTGAGCACGGCAGGTCGGTAATTAATCCTTAGTTTAGGGAGAGATGCTTATCCTAAAGGAAATGCCAATATGGGGAAGGTTACATCCCTATCTTTAGGGGCATCATTCTTGTCTTTGGGGCATAGTAAATATTATGTGTGCTCAACAGGCCACGTCAGGCCCTTTTGGAAAAACAGGGTCAGGCCAAATTAGTTTTAAACCAAATGGCTTCCTTATTTACTCCAATGTATCCTATTGCTTCCATTTATTTATTAAGTCCTCCAAAATACAACTCACGTCAGTGTGACTGGAGCATTAAATGAGATAACGCACGTGAAGCATTTAACATAGCGCCTGTCGTGGTAATAATCACTCAATAGCTATTAGCTTTTATTCATATTGTTGTCATGTCCACAAACACCACAGTTCCAGAAAATCATGTGCAGGAGTTGGGGATATTGACATATGCATGCTTGGGAAAGGTCTGCCTGATTCCATTGCTCTCGTGGGAAATTTGCCTTAACCAGACTCCTTCAAACCTGAGATTCTGTTGTGGAATCTGAGATTTGATAAGTTGATTTTGGTAGCAACTCTTCATGTCAACAGCGTGTGCTGAATATGGTAGAGTAGCCACACTTTTTGTTTTATTTTTCCATTCGACAAGTATTTCTCCAACACCTCTTTTGCGGCAGGCACTGTGCTAGGAGGTGTGAATACAGAAGGAGAACAAGATAGTCTTGGATATTACTGTCCGATTGTGATAAAGAAGAAAAAAAATGTATCCTTCATGAAGGTCAGCATCTTCATGTGCAGAAACACAGTACAAGAATTAGATCTACTGAATTACATAGAATCAGATGAACTATTCCTGGAATCACAGGGCTCATATTTTTAAGTACTGTCTCTCTGTCAACAGATTATGTGTGTGTATGTGTGTGTTTGTGCATAGACACGTACACATATAAACACATATGCACACTGTCACATAATGGGCATGAATAATTGACTAATACTTGCTCTCATTTCTTCTAGTTGTCAACTCAATTAAAACTGCTATTTATACTACAATAGCTCCCCTAACAGAGAAAACTGGTAAGTTTTTGTACATCCTTGCCTTCATGTCATGCTATAACATTTTTTTCCCTTCTGATCAAATTACCTTTTGAAATTCTCTGATTCGTTGCAGACAAAACCAATTATTCCTGGTTTGTAGGGCTCATATTTTTAACGAGTATCTCTCCTGTCCCTCTTTTGGTAGATTTTATATATGTGTGTGTATATATATATATATACACACACACACACATACATATACATATATATCACATGTCAAATAATAGGCATGAAAGATTGACTAATACTTGCTCTCATTTCTTCTAGATGTCCCTGCATTTAATTTTACAAAAGCTTGTCTGAGAGATGAAAGCAGTAAGTTTTTGTCTATGTTTGCCTTTATGTCATGCTACAGCATTTTTTTCTTCTGGATAAACTTAACTTTTGAGCCTCCCTAGTTTAAGTTAGAAAAACCAGAATGGCTGGGTGTTGCAGAATAGACTGGTACTTTAAATCAATCCGTCATTTCCTAGGAGTCATTGTAACAGAGTAAATGCTCATTTTGGTATGAGATGACTGTAAATTAGAGGGTGCAGTGACAGGCTCTGAAGTATTTCAACAACAGACTTTCATTCATTTGTGCAGCTTTTGTTTCTAATGACTGAGGAATAGATGATATCAAGGTTCTAGATTTTTTTTTGTCTTTAGTCCTTGCTAGGAGCTAATAACAAGAACTGATCTGTACTGAGAGTTTCCTATGCAGAACACATTATGCTGGGTTTCGCATGCATTTTCTTATGTAATTCTCATAATACTCCAATGAGGTGGTACAATAATTTTATTCCCATTTTACAGATGAGGGCAATGAGCTAAAATTAATTAAGTCCCTTACACCATGCCACACAGCTAGATCTGGGTTTCAACTTGGCCATCTTAATCAAGAATTCATACACTCACTCAGTTCCCTATTATTCCTCTAAGATATAGTCCTAGAGCAAGAAACCCCCATGCCGAGGTCCTGAGACACGATGGACACATGATGCGGGGTGGGTAAGTGCACGGGCTTCACAGTATCACAGACTGGACTTGAACCCCAGTTCTTCTGGTGATTAGTTACATGAATATGGGTAAATTACTTACATTTTCTGAGCAACATTTTCCTCATCTGCCGACTAGGAATAATTACACCTAACTCAGTTATTGAAGAGAAAAGTTCACCTACACATGTTGTCTAGCATAGGGTGTCTCATTTAGCTGGCACAGTACTGGTTTCCGGTCTTTTCTCTCTACATATGTACAACAAAAGTTACTAGAAGCATTGGCTCTAGCCCTGCTGAACTTTCCTCCATTTCCAATATCAAGAAGGCTCTGGACCTCAGCTAACACCTTACCTGAGTAAGGGCAAGGAGTTATGGGCACCTTACCTCTGAGATCCCTTTCCACACCAAGTGCTAATGATTCTGGAGTTCTGACTCTTGAAGATAAAATATGTAAAAGGGAAATTTCCACAGGAAGAGACTCAGCATTTTGGTTCATTGAATAGGCAGTCTGGCTCACCATCATTGTTGTTAACTATTTCTTGACATCGCATATTTCTTACCAAAATTCAAAGGATATTAAGTGCAATTATCCTATTATATCATAGCCACAATGAGAGACTTTTAGGAAGACAGGTGAGCGAGGAATGACCTCCTAAAGTTTCAGAGAATTTGGATTAACCACTCTCTTCCATTTTATATAATGCCCTCTTTACTAAAACCTCCCACTCACCCCACTGTGAACACCACCAAATTTCCCTGGATTGTACCCTTCGTAGTAATCACATTGCATGCACAACATGTAATGGCTCAGGTGCTTCTGAATGAGAATTCAACATTATATTTATGCTTAAATGTTTGATGTCTGGGGTATTTATTGCACTTGGAGAGGCAGAATTACTGAGAATATGTTCTTTAAAGTTATGTTGCTGGGATTGAAATCTGGTTTCTGGTACTTACTGAATACGTGACATTAGGCAAATTACTTCTTTCTGTGTCCTCAGCTTATTTGTAAAAGAGGAATGAAAATAATCTCAGAGTTTATTGTAAAACTTAAATAATATTAAAGCTTTGCATGCAAACTCTCAGAGCAAATGTTTGGCATTTGATAAGTGGTTAATGTATATTAGCTATATTATCTCTTAAAGACTTGGTGAGGGTGAGGAAATGCTTACTTTTCATATTTTGGAATGATGTAAGTGAATTTAGCTGAGGTTGTTGATTGACATGACCTGTAACTTGGATTCTGAGTTGTCTTGTTGTTGTCTGCAGTGGTTATGATGAGACATGTACACTTTTGGGTTTTAGTGGTGCAGGGTGGCACTGCAATGTAGGGCATTTGAAATAAATAACTGTGACCACCCTCCGATTAATATGTCCCATCCTTTCAGAAGAACCAGTGAAACTAATCAAATGTCTTCTCTTAGACACCCTGCAGCTGCAGCTCACCAGCACCTCTGCCTATTACACCTACCTCCTCCTCCTCCTCAAGAGCATAATCTACTTTGCCGTCATCGCCTTCTGCCTGTTCAGGAGAACAGCAGTCTGTGGCAATGGAAAGAGTTCGTAACAGATGGCGGCACAAAGAAGTCAATTTATCTTCCTCATTTATTGCCTAAAAGTGTCTACTGAGAATCTACCTTGGCTTTTTCTCTGGGTTTGGTGTTTCATTTCAAGTGTGTACTTTTCTACTATGTCATTATTGTGTAATGGTTTTTCAAACCACTAGGCAAACAGAAAATTTTACTCTGTAACAACGATGACTTCTGCCATTACTCAGGGGCAGGGCCAAGGGGTAGTCCTTTAGCAACACTCTCTCCGTGATCTCCATCAGCTCCTCCAGCAACCCAAATAATCGCGCCCTCTGAGTACAGACAGCATGCAGCTTCTAGTGATGGCCCTTAGGGACATTTAATGAGATGACTGCCTTGAAGCCTTCCATTTTACACACCCTGAAGCCACCATTGCTGTTACTTGAATTTTGTACTTTGTTTTTCATAATAGGGACAATAAAAGAAAGTTAAAATTCCACATTTGTCTCGGTGTACTTTAATTTGATGAAATCTAACTGAAAGTCCAAGGTAAGAAACAGCATGACACCTGAGCTATCAAATCCAGCATTGGTTTTAATAATGGTCAATACCACAGTTCTAATTCTTTCCCTGAGATAGTGGTCATGATGATTTCTTTGAGGCACTGTCTCCAAGAGGAGCCACAGTCAAATGAAGGCACCAAGTTATCTCTCTTTCAAAGGCCACCAGATTCAGACTTATTTGGTTTGGGGCATTCTGATGGTGTCAGTATAACATCTAGCATGACTTGCACTGTGTGTGCTCTGCTCTACATTAGTGTTTCACAAGCACCATATTTCCTGGACCTCCCAATAACACCATGAGACTTGCACTCACACCAAGAGGCATTGCGGTGGAGGGGTTAAGTCCCCGGACTCTGAACCCGGAGTGTCTGGGTTTGAAGTCTGGGTCTAGTATTCACATCTGTGTGACCTCAGGCAAGCTATTTGAACTCCCTGTGCCATAACTTCCTCATCTGTAGAATAGAGTTACAGCGCGCTGTCTCCTGGAGTGCGTGGATTACATGAGTTAATAATGCCTGGTGCTTGCAAGTCCTCAGCTGCATTAGCATCCACTGTTGGCAGGTCTACTTTTGAACAGTAGATACTCCACAACAGAAAAGCACTGACAGTCATCTCTAATCTTATTTCCCCACAGAGAGGATAGATGTGGATGGAATAGGGACTCAGAGAGTTTCCACTATGCACCAGGCGATCCTGATAATCCTCGAAGAGCTCCCCGAGGTAGGTACAATTGTTGTCCGCAGTGTAGATATAGGAGAGCTTAATTTCTCTGCTCAAGGTCACTCTTTTGTAAGTAATTGTCATTTAAAGCTACGTCTCTCTGAACTCAGAGCCAGTATATTTTACCCAATATCATGTGGCCTTCCATCACCCAGTTTCAACTGGGAGAAACAAAACATGCACTGCTTCCTTACTAAAGGCATCCTCCAAGGAGTCAGTGAGAATTTTCTTTAGCACTTGTTGTAAGTCTATGTTTTCTCCTCATGTATATACTCTGTTATTACCATCATTGCTCTCTTTGTTATCAACACTATGGAAATCCTACTTTATTCTGTGAGTGTGTGTCCTAGATTTGCAACTGCTTTTTTGGGGGCTGCTAATGAAATGGACTGAGATTCTCGGGCAGAGCAGGCCCATTTATGGTGCTGAGTGTACCATTCTGACACCCCAGTGCTATCTCTAGACTGGGCCCGGATGTCCTCAGAATCGACTGTGGCCGCCTCTGGTAGGTCCAGGTACATTTACGAGACAGGAAGTAGTTTATACATCCTTTTTGGCCCAGTACTTTTCCACCACAGCATGACTGCCATATAGTGTGGAGGGAGAAACACTGGCTCAGAGGTCACACCTGACACCCCATAGTTAGAGCCTCGACTCCTTTGTCTGGTTCTAACTAGCTGTGTCATTTGCTCTTGACCATGTCACATTGCCTAAGGTTATCCACCTTTAGAAGAAAGCCTTCAAATTAAATAGTATCAAGTTTCTAGTGCAATTTACAAATTCAATGATTAGCATCCTAATGAGGTAACACTAGCAAATGCTTGTAGGGTGCTCACTGGAACTGGTCTAAGTACATGTTACATTATTTAACTCTCAAAAGAAACCTATGAGATATGTACAATTATCTCTGTTTTCTAGATAGGGAAACAGCAGATAGGGGATAAAGAACATCCCCTATCTGTTAGATTGCTGATAAGAAATAGAGCTGGGATTTGAATCCAAGCAGCCTGGCTGCAGGAGCTCTGCTCATAATTTCTCCATTATTTGCTACTATAGTAGAAAAAGGTAACTTTTACTTTCAGTTAAAGCAGAGAAATTTCCTTCTTTATTAGGCTAAGAGGAGAAGAAGAGAACGGCCTCTTTACCTGTCCACACTTCCTCTCCTTGTTCTTATGCTCTTCGTACAATTCGGAGTCATAGTCATAGTCAGTGGCCACACAATTTTCATGCTGGAAGACTTTTATACACTGACCTCCCACCCACCAACAGGATTTCTGTGATTCAAGTCCACGGCACCTGGTTGGATAAAATGAACACAAGAACAACAGGTTGCATCGGCAGGTGCGCAATGGAAAAACTAGGCAAAGATTTATACAGTTCCACAAAAAACACTCATGTCTCCATAGCCTTTCTAGAGCTAGAGTCTCTATACGCTTCTCAACTATAACGAAGGGAAACTTCAAGGCAACAATTCTTGAAATTTCCCCATTATGAATTCTATTTGCTGTTGTGGAATTCTTTCCCTCAGAGACTTCATTTTTGAAGTCTCTCTTTGAATCAAGCAGGTCACAATTAAGTAACCTTTGATTTTCCCCTTTATATTAATCTAAGTCCCACATAACTGCCAATTAGAAATTCTGAGTAGTAAGAGATAACCAGAGATACTACACCAACATGATACAGTTCACCCAAAGCCTAGAAACTCAACATTTTCGTTAGCCATGAGATCTTATCTGGGTAAATTCGTGATCTCTGTCACAATCTATTAGGCTATTTTTTTGCTTGTTTGCTGTCTTTAGTTTTGTTTGAATGACAAGTACCTACCACTTAGTGAGCATCAGGAATTCTGCTAGGCAGTTTGCGTGCTTTGTGTCTAATGCTCTCACTGTACCACACACGGGTATCACGCTCATCTCACTGATGAGAAGACTAGGTCCCAGAAAGGCTGAGAAATATGCCCGAGATTAAACACAGAGTAGTGCCCGAGTCCACATGGCTCCAGGTCTGCCTGACTGAAGACCCTCTTGGGAGCCTTTAAAAACCACTGAGGCCTGGACTCCATCACAGTCCAGGCATCGGCCTTTAAAAACCTCCTTCAGTAATTTTAATGTGCACAGGGTGGAGGCCAGCAAGTAACAGAAAGAGCTCCTGGGCTCCAGTGCTGCTGTCCCAGATCACACGCAGTGAGGAGCCATCACAGAGCCCGTCACACACATAAGAACCTGCTGCAACCCGGAGAGTGTTCTCACCACTCCACCCATCCATTTCCTGAGGAAACGAAGGGTATGTACCAAGATTTATGTGCAAGGATGTTCATTCACTGTAGCACCATTTATAGCAGCACCAAATTAACCAAATGCCCAAAAAGAAACTAAAAAATAAACTAAAGGATGACATATGACTGTATAACATAGACCTTCAAGTACAACAAAAGTGTAGATGTTTAAAGAAATGTAAAATTAATCATAAAGCATTGTTAAAAAAATAATATGCGTAGCACGGCCCTATAAAAAATGTTAGGTAAGGGCCAGCCCCGTGGCTTAGCGGTTAAGTGCGCACGCTCTGCTGCTGGCAGCCCGGGTTTGGATCCCCCACGGGCACCGACCCACCCGCTTCTCCGGCCATGCTGAGGCCGCGTCCCACATACAGCAACTAGAAGGACATGCAGCTATGACATACAACTATCTACTGGGGCTTTGGGGGGGAGAAAAGGAGGAGGATTGGCAATAGATGTTAGCTCAGAGCCCGTCTTCCTCAGCAAAAAAAAGAGGAGGATTAGCACAGATGTTAGCTCAGGGCTGATCTCCCTCACACACACACACAAAAAATATTAGGTAATAACTTCACGTGGTTCAAAAATCAAAACACTCCAAAAAATGCATTAAGAGATTTTGCTTCAACCACTATCTCTCCCTCCCCCACTTCTTACAGGTCATGCTTTTGTTTCTTGTGCATCCTTCCAGTTTTTATTCATGCAAATATGAATCTACACGTGTAAATATATATGCATGTATATATATTCTCATTTCCTCCCTTCTTAGACAGAGGTAGGAAATAATATACATTATTCTGCACTTGTATTTTCCCTTAAACATCCCAGAGCTCTCTTTATGGATAGAGGGACAGGATAGAGGGAGACGTAGATGGCTATGTGGTATTTCACTGGTGAACAAAAAACACTTTATAAAATCAGTTTCCTGTGATACACCATTGGCTCATTTCCAATCTTTTGCTTTTATAAGAAATGCTAAAATTATAATAATGTTTTCTGTCATTTTGAACGTGCATATTGGTTATTTTGATAGGCATTGCCAACTCGCCCACGATAGAGAGAGCACCATTTTGTACTTCTACCACAGTGTCGGTGAATGCGAAGAGTGTGCCTCAGGACTTTCTAATCTGACAGGTGAAAATAGTGTCTCATGGCAGTTGAAATTTGCTTTTCTCTTACTATGAGTAAGGAAAAGCATCTTTTCATATATTGAAAGTCTATATTTCTTTTTCTGTGAAATATTTTTCATGTCCTTTGGTCGTTTTTACTATTGAGTAACAATACCAATAGGTATGACACTCGTTTATATGTGTCTCTGTATTTCTACAGGTGTAGGCATAAAACATGTTCAATGTATGGTAGGAGGGTGAGAAAATGATAAGAGATTGTATATTTTTCTATTTTCTCTAATCCTTTTAAAGTAAAAACTTTTATATATTAGAATTGAAACATCTCATTTAAAATTGCCGAAATTTTTTGTTTGCTTCTTTACTATCAGCTTCAGTTTCTGTGAAACACATTCTCTAGGAAAGCAAGTAGACGTTCCCATTTGGAAATAAAATAAGACCCATCAGATACAAGAAAGATTAAATTTAATTATATCTACTCCTTTGAGTTATTAATGTGATCAGATTCTCTAGGCCAAATCCTTGGCCCTCTACTTAGAGACTTGGAACTATTTTTGCATTAGGAAGGAGTAGAAGCAAAGAGGGGAAACTTGCAAATCTCTGAAAGCTTTGTGCAGCTGACTTCACTGCCAGGC